TCTGTCTCGAAAAAAGTAAAATATGTATAGTGTAGTATCAAAGGAAAACAGCAAAACTTTAAATATTTGCTTTGAAAATTAACTGTTTTGTAGCTTAAGAGCACAGGGTGGCAGCTTTCGACTTAACATAATTAATTCGGATGTTAGTCATGCATATCTTTTCCATCTGCCTAAGAAATTACTCAGTATTACTAATGAAGATAGCTCATGGCTTTTGGCTTCTGTCCCTATATGTTTATTAGAAAATACTAATTTTAGAAAATTACTAATTACTCTTTCACATTTTTATTGTCAATTAAAATATCCTCACAAAATGGAGTAGCTTTCAATGTATAGAGATAACTGCACAAGGAGGACAGTGACGTCTGCCACTAAAACCGTGGTCTCCCAGCTGCGGCGTCCCACCTGAGGTGCTCACAGCTGAGCCCAACCAACGTCCTTGTTCTCAGCTTGGCCTCTCACTGTTTTGTCCCTTTGCTGCTCCTCTGCACAGCTCTTAGGGAGCTTTCCGGGGCAGCCGTCTGACCGCGGCTCTGTTTCCTGACCACCTGCATGGGATGGCGAAGTGGGGGTGGGGGTGGTTCTGTAGCCAGTCTGATTTGTGCTCTGTTGAGAGGGGGAGGAGAGCAGAATTTTTGAAGGAGTATATGTACCGGCTTTGGTGGAGATGGATGATGTTCTGGGTGTCTCTAATACTCGATTTAAGAAGGTAAGTGGTGGCCGGGCGCGGTGGCTCAAGCCTGTAATCCCAGCACTTTGGGAGGCCGAGACGGGCGGATCACGAGGTCAGGAGATCGAGACCATCCTGGCTAGCACGTAACCGCCGTCACTACTAAAAATAAAAAAAACTACCGGGCGAGGTGGCGGCGCCTGTAGTCCAGCTACTCGGGAGGCTGACGCAAGGAGAATGGCGAACCCGGGGACGAAGCTTGCCAGTGAGCTGAAGATCCGGCCACCTGCAGCTCCAGCCTGGGCGACAGAGCGAGACTCGTCTTCAAAACAAAAAAAAAAAAAAGTAAGCATGCGTGAGAGTGGAAATGTGTGGCAGCGAACGTGTGGCGCGCCTGCGGGCCCTCTGGTCCAGCTCACACGCCTGCTCCTGTCCTCCTGCTTTCAGTGACGCGTATGTCCGGAAGGGGTGTGGCGTCGGTCTGGATCGGCTGGCAGCGGGCGCTCCCCCCCCCACGGCTCGACTGGCGCAATCCCCGCTATACTCCCCGGCTTTCTCCAGGAGAGAGAAACCCCAGGCTGGAGGCCTCAGGCCGGTGCGGCAGCGCGGATCAGCTCTCGCCCGGCCGGGGCCGAACCGAACTGGTTCCACCAGTGTCTCGTCTCAGCCGTGCTGGCTGGTGCTCTGCCTCGGGTTTCTACCTTCCAGTCCATCCTTTTCACGAAAGACTCCCAACTGAAGCTTTGTCACGGCGCGGCAACAAATGTCGTAATTCCGCCTCAGCAACTATTCACGTGCCTGGCTGGCTGTCGCAATGGTCCGAAGGGCACGGTATACATGAAGACTGCAGGACAGTGGGAGACAGGCACGTTGCTTGGCGCGCTTTGCGCCGGGCACTGGTCGCGTGGCCGTTCCTCGCAGCCGCGTTCATGCGGGGGGCGCCACACAGGGCTTCCTTTTCTGGTGCGCGCGCGCTGACTCACCCTTCTCCTCCCGATTTTCTCAGGAATGCACATAAGCCTGGGTCCCCTGGCTCTCAGAGTTCAGAATGCTACAAAAATTGATTAACGCTAAGGGCCGGGGTGCGGTGGCTCATGCCTGTTAATCCCAGCACTTTGAGAGGCCCGAGGGAAGGCAGATCCACCTGAGAATTAGGAGTTTGAGACCACCTGGCAACATGCGAAAAACCCACCCCTACTGAAAAATTCAAAAACAGCCGGCCATGGTGGTGCATGTCTGTAGTCCCAGCTACTCGCGCTGAGGCGAGAATCCGCTTGAAGCGTGAGCTGGGATCGCACCATTGCACTCCAGCCTGGCAACAAGGGTGAACCCGCGAAAAAAAAAAAAAAAGAAAAAGAAAAATTGGTTAATCTAAATTGAATAATTAGATTTTTAGAAAGTACATCTGCCCTTCTGATTTTAACAGTTTTTGAGAAATACACACTTAAACACAATATACTTAATTTTAAAAAACCCAGTGGCTTTAAAGTGCTGTGAGGTTAGAAAGACTTGGGAGGGTGAGGACACGGTGCATCCTGCTGCCCTTCCTGGGGGTCTCCTGTCCACAGGGCTGAGCCAATGGGGAGAGGGCTACCCAGGCTGGGGGCTGGGGCTGCCGGGGAGAGGCTGCATCCTGACCGCAGAGTGTTTGCTGCCAAAGGTCTCCAAGCAGATGCACAGCCTGGCGGCCAGAAACGCTGATTCAGGTTGGGAAGAGGAGAGCTTGGGTGCAGTGGGGAGGGGGTGCATAGTACAACAGAGCACTGCTGTCTGAAAAATGAGTTTAAAGGCTCTGTTTTGTGGTTTTTTGGATGATTTTTTTTTTTTTTTTGAGACAGGTGTCACTCTGTTGCCCAGATTGGAGTGTAGTCGTGCAGTCACAGTGAGTGCTTACTGCAGCCTTGACCTACCAGGCTCAAGTGATCCTCCTGCCTCAGCCTCCCGCGTAGCTGGAAGTGATCAGGACCACAGGTGTGCACCACCACACCTGGCTCATTTTTTTAATTTTTATTTTTTTGCAGAGATGGGGTTTTGGTTTTGAACTCTTGGGCTCTGAGGATTCTCCCTCCTTCACCTCCCAAAGTGCTGGAGTTACAGGAGTGAGCCACTCGCCTGGCTGAATCTTTTTTTTAATTATGGTAAAATATGCCTAATATAAAATTTACCATTTCATTTTCCCAAGCTGAAGCTCTGTCCCCATTGTCAAGCACCACCCCCGTGTCCTTGCCCAGGCCCTGAGAGCCCGCAGTGCACTTGCCTCTGTGCTTTGGCAACTCCAGGGTCATGTAAGAGGAGTCTTGTGGGCTGCGACCTGTGCGGCTGGGGTCCTTTCCCTCGCCTCAGTCCTCAGGGATCCTCTGTGCTGCATCTCGTGTGAGAATTTCCTCCTTCTTTAAGAGTGAATAATATTCCACGCATGGGCAGACAACATTTTGTTCATTTATCCACCTGTCAGTGGACCCCTGGGCTCTCCTGCCGCATGGCTGTTGTGGGTGGCACGGCCGTGAGCCTGGGTATGTGGATTCTGCTGGGTCCCTGCTGTCAGCTGTGGGCTCCTACCCGGAGTGTGGGGCTGCTGGATCCATGGCAGTTCTGTGCTTAGTAATTGGAGGCACCTGGTCAGTTATCTTTCAGGAGCCATGCAGTGGATGGTCCAGCCCCACAGAGCCAATGCCAGGCCACACAGTGTAGACAGAAAGCTCCCCTGCTCTTCCATCTCCACAGTGGAGATGGAGCCATCTCCTTTCCCACAGGATATTATCAAAACATCTCAAGACGCTTAGCATGGTGGCTCACGCCTGTGATCCCAGCACTTCGGGAAGCTGAGGCAGGCAGATTATTTGAGCTCAGGAGTTCAAGACCAGCCTGGCCAACATGGCAAAACTCCGTCTCTACAAAACAATACGTAAATTAGCCCAGGCATGGTGGTGTGTGCCTGTAGTCTCAGCTACTCAGGAGGCTGAGGTGGGAGGATCACTTGAGCCCTGGAGGTCGAGGATGCAGTGAGCTGTGATTGCACCACTGCACTCCAGCCTGGGTGACAGAATGAGACCCTATGTCAAAAAATATATATATATGGGAAAACTCAATAAAAATATTACATAGAAATGAACACAGGTGGTCACTCTAGTCTGAAATAGCAAAAATACTAACTTCCCCTTGACTGATTCCAGTTTTTGGAATGTTTAGAATTCCATAAAAAAAAAAAAAAAAGGCTCTTTTGTAAGAAAACACACAATGAGAAATAATGTGCTCTGAGGCACTGAACTAATGTTCGCCCAAATCTAGTTTTTTGTAAGCAAAGACAAGGCCTGGGGCCAGAGGTTGGAAACAGACTCACAGTATTTTGCAGCCGTTATGGAGAGACTAGAGGCGGTTGGGTTCCTCCAGAGTGGGGTGTCTGTGCACATCTCAGCATCACGGCTGGCGGGGGCTGCTGTGAGTCAGTCTTGGAACCGGCTGTCCACTGGTGACCGCGTGGGGTGCCTGGTGAACACCTCTAACGAGGTAGGGCCAGTGGGAGCAGAAACCAGTGGAGTTGTCGAGCCGGCATTATCCTTCCTGCTCGGCTTGCGTCCGGGGTTAACGTGGAGGTCAGCTTCAGTGAGGCCTGGCACTGGGCCAGCGTGAGGCTTGGTTAGTCTCGGGGACCCATGTGGTATCCGGATCCCCCGGCACTAGACAGCTTGTCCAGGGCCACTGTCCTGCCAAGAGATGCCTGGGCTGGACAGTGGGGGGGTTGGTGCCAAGGAAGGAAGAGGCCGGCAGGGATGCCTCCTGCACACACAAGCTGACAACGCGGGGTTTATTCAGTTCTCAGTTCTCAGCTCTCAGCTCTCAGCCGTGTCCTTTATCTCTGAGGAGTCTCAGTTTATTCTGTCTCCTGCTGTTTTGCATCTTCGGAATTAGGAGAGTGTCCCAAAGTTCTGTGGGCATTTCTCTCCACCTGTCACCCTGGGTCCTCGAGGCAGAGCTGCCTCCACTGTGCGCAAGGTCCGAGATGCAGGAGGCCTGTGCTGGGGGCCGGGAGGAGACGGGCATCGAGGAAGGAGCGCCATGGCCTGGCCGCCAGCTCTGGGGTTGCTCTGCCGTCCCTGACTCTGCGGGAAGGACAGTTGGGGCCCCCCTCCACCCCGAGTCCAGGATCACCCCCTCCTTCCTGGCCCAGTGAGCCTGTCGCTCTGGCTGTGTTGAGTCTGCTGTGTGGCCAGGGTGAAAACCAGTCCCTAAGTCCCAGGTGGAAGCCAGGTGGCCACCCTCGGGGCAGCTGGAGGGGTGGGAGGCTTGTGGAGCAGAAACCCGTGGGTGATTCCTTCTGAATTTCCCGCAGACCTCAACCGGACCTTCCCCGACAATGTGAAGTTTCGGAAGACCACGGAGCCCTGCCTGCAGAAGACCCTGTACAATGTGCTGCTGGCATACGGGCACCATAACCAGGGAGTGGGCTACTGCCAGGTGAGCCTCGGGACCCTCTGACGCAAGCATGAGGTGGCTGTGAGGACGGGTCTGTCCACAGCTGCAGGCTCGGCAGTGACGGCTTCATGTCTCTGTCAACAATGTTCATGAATTCCACATCCTGACGCCCCATTGGGGCTCGGACACCGTTTGCCAGCAGGGAGGACAGGGAGCAGCAGCTGACAACCTCGTTTCGGCCTCAGGCAGCGGGGGGAGAATCAGTGAGCACGGGACACAGAGGGCGAGTGCTGTGGGGTGCGTGTGTGCTGTGGGAAATGTGTGCTGTGGGGCGTGTGCTATGGAGCATGTGTTGGGCACATGTGTGCTGTGTTGTGGGGTGCGTGTGCTGTGGGGTGTGTACTGTGGGGCATGTATGTGCTGTGGGAAATGTGTACTGTGGGGCGCGTGTGCTGTGGGGCACGTGTGCTGTGGGATATATATGCTGTGGGGTGCGTGTGCTGTGGGATATATGTGCTGTGGGATATATGTGCTGTGGGGTGCGTGTGCTGTGGGATATATGTGCTGTGGGATATATGTGCTGTGGGGTGCGTGTGTTGTGGGATATATGTGCTGTGGGGTGCGTGTGTTGTGGGATATATGTGCTGTGTGGGATATATGTGCTGTGGGATATATGTGCTGTGGGGTGCGTGTGCTGTGGGATATATGTGCTGTGGGATATATGTGCTGTGGGGTGCGTGTGTTGTGGGATATATGTGCTGTGGGGTGCGTGTGTTGTGGGATATATGTGCTGTGGGGTGCGTGTGTTGTGGGATATATGTGCTGTGGGGTGCGTGTGCTGTGGGGTATGTGGGGTGCGTGTCCTGTGGGATATATGTCCTGTGGGATATATGTGCTGTGGGGTGCGTGTACTGTGGGATATATATGCTGTGGGATATATGTTCTGTGGGATATATGTGCTGTGGGATGCATGTGCTGTCGGGTGCGTGTGCTGTGAGGTGCATGTGCTGTGGGGTATGTGGGGTACGTGTGCTGTGGGATATGTGTGCTGTGGGGTGTGTGTGCTGTGGGGTGTATGTGCTGTGTCGTGTGTATGCTGGAAGGCTTGTGTACTATAGGGCATGTGTGCTATGGGATATGTGCGCGGTGGGTTGCATGTACTCTGGGTTACGTGTGCTATGGGATGCATGTGCTGTGAGCTGTGTGTTGTCCTCTGAGGCCACTCCCAGAGTGTCTGCTGTCTACACTGTCATCCCCCGGCTGGCTCCGTGGTGTGAACCAGCAGGTGCGGTTGGGAGAGTCCTTGCGCCTCCTGGAGGCCACCTAGCTGGGTGCATATTAAGGGCATTGCTCTTAGTAACTGGTGGAGCGAACAGGCCGGAACTGGGGGCAGCCAGGAGCCGTGCAGTCTCCCAGCCTGTGTGTGCCCTGCCTGGACCTTTCACCGGTGGTGCTGTTCCAGTCTCTCTGAGCTGGCCGAGGGCAGGGCAGGCATCTGGGCAGGGCTGGCCTCCCTGATGGTTTCCAGGTGCACACATGGCCTGTGACTGCCTGTGAGTCCCAGTGGCTGGGAGCCTGGAGCCCATGGCTGCCACTGGGATTGGAGGTGCTTTCCTGGCATTTCAGGCCATGTGCTTCATAGGCTTCTAGGGGTTGTGGCTGGCTTAAATGTTTCTAGGAAGACGGGGAAGGACATTGTTGCGATGGGTGGTTCGAACCCAGCAGGCCCAGTGATGCCACCGGAAACTTCCTGTAGGAGCCAGGAGCCAGGCGTGCACCAACCAGAAAATGCAGTTTGCAGTTTGAGCGAACGTTTGCGGGAGTGTGGAGCCCCTGCCTGGACAGCCCTGGGCCTGGCCCCTGGCAGAGTGAATGCTCCCAAGGAAAGAGGGTGGACGTGTGCGTGAGGAACGCCCTGTGACAGGCCAGCAGCAGAGCCACAGGACCGTGCCGTCCTCACCAGCTGCTCCGCATGCTGCGCATGTGCCGCTCTGTAGCGGGCAGGCAGTGCCATGTCAGGTGAAGCTGGGAGAGTCCCTCCTTTGCAGACAGAATTCCTGCCATTCCTTCCTTTTATGACTGTCCAGGAGCAAGAATTTGGCCTTCTGGAGTTGAGGTAGAGTGGGCAAGAAACCCTCTACGTCATTCTATTTTCTGCTCCTTCGCGTTTCAAAAACAGCTTTAATAAAACGCAAACACCAGCCTGGGCAAGGTGGCAAGACCCCATCTCTACGAAATATGTTACAAAATTAGCCAGGTGTGGTGGCACACGCCTGTGGTCCCAGCTACGCAAGGGGCTGAGGTGAGAAGGTCGTTTGGGCCTGGGAGGTCAAGCCTGCCGTGAGCCATGATTGCACCACTACACTCCAGCCTGGGCAACAGAGCAACACCCTGTCTCCAAAAAAGCGAGAAACAAACCAAAAAACACCACCCACCTGGGTGGCCCTTTCCTATAATCATGCGCTTTGGGAGGTCAAGGCAGGAGGATTGCTTGCTTGAGGCTAAGAGTTCAAGACCAGCCTGGGCAATACAGCAAGACCCCATCTCTATTCTTTTTTTTTTTTTTTTTTTTGAGGCAGAGTCTCGCTGTGTCGCCCAGGCTGCAGTGAGTGGCGCAATCATGGCTCACTACAAGCTCCGCCTCCCAGGTTCACGCCATTCTCCTGCCTCAGCCCCCCGAGTAGCTGGGACTACAGGCGCCGCCACCGCGCCCGGCTAATTTTTTGTATTTTTAGTAGAGATGCAGTTTCACTGTGTTAGCCAGGATGGTCTCGATCTCCTGACCTTGTGATCCGCCTGCCTCGGCCTCCCAAAGTGCTGGGATTACAGGCGTGAGCCACCGCGCCTGGCCCCAAGACCCCATCTCTATGCTTAAAAAACAAACCACAAACACAGTGTTACATACTAACAGAATGCCAGAGCTCAGCTGGCATTTGGAACATACAGGCACCTATATACATGTGTGTGCGTAGATGTGCACCTGTTAGCTTGCTGTGGACCCCTAGGGAAACACCACAGCCTGGTAAACAGTGGAAATGAATTCTCTCAGCTCCGGAGGCTGTGCCACAGCCTGGTAAACAGTGGAAACGAATTCTCTCTCGGCTCTGGAGGCTGTGCATCTGAGGTCGCGGCATCTGCGGGTTCTGAGGTCACGACGTCTGCACGGTGGGTTGTTTCTGAGGCTGTGACAAAGGGACTGTCCCAGGCCTCGCTCTGACTCTGCTGGTTCCTGGCAGTCCTGCGTGCCCCTCGGTGGGCAGCATCACTACTCCAGTCCCTGCCTCCATCTCCACGTGCGTTCTCCTGTGCGTGCCTGCGTCTGAAGCTCTGCCTAAGACAAGGACACCAGGCTTGGATTAGGGCCCACCAACTCCTCCATGACCCCATCCGTAATGACATCTGCAACAGTCCTTTTCCCAAACAAGGTCCCAATCTGAGGTACTAGGGGTTAGGACTTCAACAGCTGAATTTTGGGCGGAGGACACAGTTCAATGCATAGCAGATGTGTAGAATTACGCAGTGCACACAGGATCTCGCTCTGTCACCCAGGCTGGAGTGCAGTAGTGTGATCTCGGCTCACTGAGCCTCAACCTCCTGTGCTCGAGAGGTTCTTCACCTTGGCCTCCTGAGTGACTGCGACCACAGGTGCACCACCACGCCCAGGTGATTTTTGTATGTTTTGTAGAGATCGGGGTCTTGCCATGTTGCCCAGCCTGGTCTTGAACTCCCGAGCTCAGGTGATCCTCCTGCCTCTACCTCTCACAGTGCTGGGATCCCCCACTGTGCTTGGCCATGTTCTGCTTTTTCTCCACGATGATCACCCACCTGCATTTCCATGTGTCCACTGTCCACATTGTCACCCTCTCCCAGGACCAGTAGCACTGTCCGCTCGAAGGGGTCCGTTCTCAGCCACAGAGGTCCCCCCGGGTCCACTCTCGGCCACAGAGGTCCCTCCGGGTCCACTCTCGGCCACAGGGTCTGGGGCTGCCCTCGATGGAGAGGGTCACATATGTGATGTTTGAGGCAGCACCCCTTTGGCAGGTGTGCGCATGGATTTCCCGAAAGGGTCTCCACCACGAAATTCTCCCAACACCCGCGTGTCAGAACATGTTCCTTACAGTTTTTATAAAATGTGGTCATTGGTATAGTTTTCTCTCTGGTAGAGAGTTTCATGTTGTTGATATCTAGTAATTTCTTTAGAAACCAATGGTAAGTTATGTTTTTTTTATCACAAGGTTACCATTAGTGGATGAGTCTTTGATTTTAGTATTCAGGATTTCTTTAAAGTGTTTCCCTTTGCTTTTACTTTTCTTCACGTAAGCTTGACTAAACACATTACTAGATGGTAGGTATTTAGTGACTCTAGAGTTCTACTAAAGGATCATTCTGGAATTATGCAGGTTTTAGGGAAAAGCAGGAGAAATGGAAACTGGGTAGTTAGTAACTGAATGATTGCAGAATCGTATGGAGGCTTAAAACTCAATGTGAATTTCTGTTTCTCATTTTTCTAATTTCAGGGAATGAATTTTATAGCGGGATATCTGATTCTTATAACGAATAATGAAGAAGAATCTTTCTGGCTGTTAGATGCTCTTGTTGGAAGGATACTACCTGGTATGTTGAAAATTCCTGCGGTTTTGCCTGAACTGTCCTGTTTCTGGTGCTGCCAAAGTGATTCCGCTGAGAAATCAAGATTTAATTAAAACATGGTTGAATAGTTTGGGAGTTGAGGTTAAAATCTTTCTTTTTGAGACAGAGTCTCGCTCTGACGCCCAGGTTAGAGTGCAGTGGCGTGATCTTGGCTGACTGGAACCTCTGCCCCTGGGTTCAAGTGATTCTCCTGCCTCAGCCTCCCAAGTAGCTGGTATTACAGGTGTGCGCCACCACGCCCGGCTAATTTTGTATTTTTAGTAGAGACGGGGTTTCACCGTGTTGGTCAGGCTGGTCTCAAACTCCTGACCCCAGGTGATCCGCCCACCTCGGTCTCCCAAAGTGCTGGAATTACAGGCATGAGCCACCGCGCCTGGCCAAAAATCTTTTTGTGGTTAAAAAAATGTCTGAAATTGAGTCGAAGAGGAGAAACCCATGTAAGTGGCCAAGTCCCGGCTGCAGCAGCTGCTTGCTCCTGGGCCAACAGAGGGCCTTCTGTGCTGTCTTGACCCTTGCAGGCAGCTGGGGCTGCGTGGTTGGCTCACCCCCTCCTCAGTTGGTAACTTCTGTGTCCGTTGAGGGCCACAGTGTAGCTTGTATTGATCACAGAATCTCTGAGAGGCTGTCTTGGTTTCATGTGTGTATTTATTACCGAGTTTGTGAATACTAGCAAGAGCATGATTGTGCTATGTATATCCATAGTTACTTTTTAAGTAAGTACTTACTTTTTAAGGTGAAAACCATTCTTTTCAAACCTTTCCACTTTTCTATGTATTAATGTTTAATTATTTAATAATTAAAATGTATTTATTAGTAAGTTATCCACAGGTTATAGTGAAGGCCAGTTCAGACGATGGGCTGCAGGCTCAGGTCACTTGGGAAGAGAAGTTTGAGGAGCCGTCGGGCAGGCAGGATCTGGGGCTGAGACCACTCTGCCCTTCCCCAGCCTGGCTGTGGTGCTGGGTCAAGGGGCTGCGTGTTCATCCTGTAGGGCAGAGGAGATGTGAGGGGCAGCTGGGCCAGTCCCCAGTGTTTGGAGCCTGGTGGGGGTGTGTGGCTCCAGCTCCTGCCTGGTGAGTGCACGGCGTGTGTCAGGTTCCTGCTGAGCTGTGCTCGTCCTCAGGACAGCCACACCACACAGACAGTCACCCACCCCATTTCCAGGGTGAGGACACCGAAGGCCAGGAGAGTTTGCGTGCTGGCCTGACCACCGCTGTACGTGGCCGAGCCTGGTTCAGATCCTGGCTGTGTGACTCACAGACCATAGTGCGTGTCCTCACGGACGGGGCGAAGCTCAGTGCATCGTTAAGGGCAGGGAGGAATCAGTGCCACCCTCAACCCAAGGCCACAGAAATGGAGATGCCAGAGACCAGCCTGATGGAGCCACCCCGGAGGAAGGGAGCCCCGCAGAGCTCCCGGGAGCAGGAAGAGCCGTTCGCCCGACTGGAGGCCATGGACCCGGCGCAGCAGCAGCAGGAGGCAGAGCCTCGCGGGGCGGAAAGGTTGCCGACTGTCGCAGCTCAGTTCGGGGAACGCCTGGACCAGGTGGAATGGTGAAACTAGAGGCAGACGGAGTTAGGAGACATCCAGATGTGGGATTGGCAGGACGTGGACACAGGCTCACAGCCTGCTTCAGTGATGTCCGAGTGCAAATCACGGCGAATCTTCCCATCCGTGGGCCATGCAATTCTTTTCACCACATTTTTGTTGAAAACCTATCGTGTTCTGGGCACTGTTCAGGGGTGTGGGAAACATCGGGGAGCACACACGAGTTCCGCCTTTGTGGGGGGTGGACCCCAAGCAGCAGCAGGTGAGAGCTCAGGTCGGAGGGCTCAGTGCCAACCCAGAGGGCAGGCGCAGGCCCCGCCGTGCTGGTGTGATGGACAGATGCATTTTCAGTCCATGAGATGTCATTTCCGATATTCATTATGAGATTAAGTTGAACGAAACTGCAATGCAAATAGGTCTGGATTCAAAAAGAAAAGAAAGTATAAAAACTAAACTTTTAGGATTATGGGAGGAAAAGGGGTTATTCCGATCCCGGCAGAGCTCTCCCAGCGGCAGAGAAAAGAGGCAAATATACGTCCTTCTCTAAGTTATAGTGACCAAAGTAGGTCGTTTGAGTGCCACGGTCATCCTGCTCTAATATCCGTCCTTCCCTAAGTTACAGTTACCCAAACTAGGTTACTTCAGTGCTACTGTTATCCTGCTCTTAATTGCTGCTTTTTAAGTTATACAAGAAATACACAGACTTATTCTCATTTCAGAAGTTCAAAAAATACAGTACTTTTTATAGAATAAAAAGTGACAGCCAGGAGCCGTGGCTCACACCTATAATCCTAGCATTTTGGGAGACCGAGGCGGGCAGTTAGGAGTTCAAGACCAGCCTGGCCAACATGGCAAAACACCATCTCCACTAAAAATATAAAAATTAGCCAGGTGTGGTGGCGGACGCCTGTAATCCCAGCTACTCAGGAGGCTGAGACACAAGAATCAGCTTGAACCTGGGAGGCTGAGGTTGCAGTCAGCTGAGATCACACCACTGCACTCCAGCATGGGAGACAGAGCGAGCCTCTATCTAAAAAAGAAAAAAAAAAAACAAAAAACAAGGCCAGGCAGAGTAACTCACATATAATCCCAGCATCTGGGAGGACACAAGGTGGGAGGATCGCTTGAGCCCAGAAGTTCCAGACCAGCCTGGGCAACAAAGTGAGACCCCTCCCATCTCTACTAAAAATAAAAATTTAAATAAAAGTGATGACTTGCCTTCACTAGCACATCCCCATTTATCTCCCACTCAGAGGTAACTGTTATCATCAGTCTGATGTATGTATTTCAGAGTTTTTATAGACCTATATAAACATACATGAAAGACTGAAAATTAGTGACACAGGAACAGAGAAGCAAAAGAAAAGATAAACAGACAAAAATCTGGTTCTTTGGGAAAACTGATAAATAGACAAACCTCTGGCAAGATTAATAAGAAAAAAATGTAGCCGGGCATGGTGACTCACGCCTGTAATTCCAACACTTTGGGAGGCTGAGGCAGGAGGATCACCTGACATCAGGAGTTTGAGACCAGCCTGACCAACATGGTGAAACCCTGTCTCTACTAAAAATACAAAAATTAGCTGGGCGTGGTGGTGGACACCTGTAGTCCCAGCTACTGGGGAGGCTGAGGCAGGAGAATGGCATGAACCCGGGAGACAGAGCTTGCAGAAAGCCGAGATCACCCCACTGCGTTTAAGCCTGGGCAATAGGACAAGACCCTGTCTCAAGTAAATTAATAATAAATAAATACATAAAAGCACAGGCACTGAAGAGAAATCTTTGTTGAGGTGTAATCCACATATCCCACAGTCCCCCCTTTCAAGTGTACGGTGCAGTGGTGATTGGTGCATCCGTGACTTTAGAACAGGTGAGCGAAGATCACGCCACTGCACTCCAGTCTGGGTGACAGAGTGAGACTCTTATCTCAGAAAAAGAAAAAGTATATAGTAGAAATGAAAAGGTGCTGTAATTTGAAGATTTGTAGAGATTTTTAAGAATCAAGAAGAAAATGAAGAGACAGTAGTGGATAATTCTGAGAAAAAAACAGCCTAATGAAGTTGACTTGAGAGAGAAAATAGAACATCAGATGGGTGTGTGCATGGACACACTGGGTTTTTGCTGCTATCAGACTGTGAAGGAACAGGTAACTCCTGCTTTTTAATGTTTTTGTTTTATTTTTTATTTATTTATTTTTTCAAGACGGAGTCTCGCTCTGTTGCCCAGCCTAGAGTGCAGTGGTGCGATCTTGGCTCACTGCAAGTTCTGCCTCCTGGGTTCACGCCATTCTCCTGCCTCGGCCTCCGGAGTAGCTGGAACTATAGGCACCCACCACCAGGCCTGGCTAATTTTTGTATTTTTAGTAAGAGATGGGGTTTCACCATGTTGGCCAGGCTGGTCTCGAACTCCTGACCTCAGGTGATCCACCCACCTCGGCCACCCAAAGTGCTGGGATTACAGGCGTGAGCCACCACACCTGGCCATTTTATTGTATTTTTTAGAGACAGGGTCTCAGTCTGTTACTCAGGCTGGAGTGCAGTGGTGTGATCATGGCTCAATCCAGCCTCAACCTCCTTAGCTCAAGTGATTCTCCTGCCTCAGTCTTTTGAGTAGCTGGGACCACAGGTGACTACTACGTGCCTGGTAGATTTTTTTTTTATTGGTAGAGATGGGCCTTGCTATGTTGCCCAGGCTGGCCTTGAACACCTGGCCTCAAGTAGATCCTCCTGCTTTGCCTCCCAAAGGGCTGTGGTTAATTCTGTTTTTTTTTTTTTTTTTTAAATAAATCTTGGGGCTCATACCTGTAATCCTAGCACTTTGAAGTGGTGCATGCCTGTGGTCCCAGCTACCTGGGGAGGCTGAGGTGGGAGGGTTACTTGAGCTAAGGAGTCGAGGCTGCAGTGAGCTGTGGTAGTGCTACTGCACTCCAGCCTGGTGACAGAGCAAGACCCTGTCTAAATAACTGATTAAACAATCGCAGAAAATATAAAAAGGAACTGCCATCGCTTCATGTTATGAAGCTAGTATAACCTTCACACCATACAGGCTAATCTCACTGATGAACAGAAGTATGTAAATGTTCATTATTAATTTAGCAACTTGAATCTACAGATGATTATGAGTATTTTTTATTTTTTTATTTTATTTTTTTTTTGAGACGGAGTCTCGCTGTGTCTCCCAGGCTGGAGTGCAGTGGCGTGATCTCGGCTCACTGCAAGCTCCTCCTCCCGGGTTCACGCCATTCTCCGCCTCAGCTCCCAAGTAGCTGAGACTACAGGCGCCCGCCACCACGCCCGGCTAGTTTTTGTATTTTTAGTAGAGACGGGTTCACCATGTTAGCCAGGATAGTCTCAATCTCCTGACCTCGTGATCCACCCGCCTCGGCCTCCAAAGTGCTGGGATTACAGGCTTGAGCC